AAAGGTAAATATGGTAAGCAGTGAGTGTTTTGTAGTTTCAAACAGTGAATCCGTGAGACTTTCCAAATGCAATCAGTTTAGCTGTAGGTCAGATGGGGAGATCTTCCTTCCTTCCTTCCTTCCTTCCTTCCTTCCTTAAATTGATCTTTTAAAATAATTGTTATGAGGATATATGAGAAGGAACAGAATCTAGCTACGCTCCCTTGGGATATGCAAAGATAGACATCTAGCTGTGACAGCACACATCTCAGCACAAGATTTCCCGAGTATTTACCCAGCTCCTTAGGTAGGTTTGGCAGCCTGATTTTTCTCTAATGCCACAGCTGGTCCTCATATATGCATACCTGGGGTTGTCTATGCTATATATCAGTCTCATTAATGACTGTGGAACATGCACATCCCTAGGTATTTTACGAAGTAGGCACATTGCACAGTACTTTTGTTTACTGCTTCTTACTTGTTACATTTGCAGAGAACAAAGTTAGAATTGTCTGTGCTTCCGTTAAAGGCACGACAATTAACTGTGTCAACATATCTAAGCTAGTTTAAAATCATTCCCCTCAAACAGTGGAAGAATGGCACTGAAGGGATAATGCAACACAGGGTGACTGTTTGAATATTTATCTGTCTGGAGATGCACCTCACTCTTGCACTGAGATCAGCACCTGAACTAGGTAGTTTAAGGATACTGGGGGGTCTGAGAACTGCCCAGATTCCACTAGTAGTGCTATCTCTGCAAGAGTTGTTTCAGTTGAATAATGGGAGTAAAACCAGTAAACATTAATTTTAGTTACTTAAGGCAGTTGGGTCTGACTCCAAACAGATATACTGGTTTCAAAAGATAAAATTTTTATTTATTTTTCCTTTAAAAAATAAAAATGCAGCTGAAGTGTTCGAATTGAGCTGTGAATCAATTGCTCTGTAGAGAGAAATGTGTTCACACACAGAAATTAAAGAATAAATTAAGCTATCTGCCATAGAAGTTGACCCTAATTAAGGTCAATTATCCTTGATAAGTAATTAGTCAGGAATCCTTATTATATTTTAGTCTCTCTGTTAACAATAAATAGAGCATTATTTTATTTTTATGGCTAGAATAAGTCTCTTAATTGATAGTATTCTGCAGGAGACAAACATCCATCAGCTCTGAAACTGATTCGCTGAAGACATTTTAAATTAGAACAGTGTTAGTTAAATTATCCAAAGAGCAAAACTGCAAAGCTCAAGAATGTACATCTTCTGCAAACCTCACTCTTCTGTAATTTGTTGCTTATAAAGAAAAAAAGCATGTCACCTATCTCTGCCTTGAGGTGAGAGAATGTTTTTAGTTAATATCATCATTCCCATAGAATCCAGTTTGCCATGGTTGTCCCATTCTTCTTATCATCTTAATATCTGAACATCTTTCACTAAGCAGTAATGACAAATATTCATGATGTTTTGTATTCTTATCCCTTTATATGGAGTATATGCAGTACGATGTTCTGTCTCACCTTGTCATTCATATATGTAGGTATGCATATGTAAAACATATAGATATAGAAGGATATGCACACAGAGGCATCTGCATACATACATAGATCATGATGTGATTGGTATATTGGTGAACGAAGGTGGAAAAGGTTTTGATTGTCAGTACCTGCCTCTACTCCAAGTTTAGTTTCTGAGTGTGGGATGCAGCACAGAAAATAATTATGATTATCTAGAGGGCAAAGTAAGTCCTCTTGTAATGCAGGAAGTGGAGCTTAGTGGAAGAGCAGGTATAGTGGATTCCTTGTTTGTGGTAGGTTGGGTATGCTGGAATTTGTGGAGTTTCTTCACAGCAGGATGGGCACAGTACTTGCACAATGCGCTGCTTGAGTGGTCCCCTGGATGTGCAGAGCTGAAAGAGGAAATGGGAGAATGCTTATTGGGGAGATCTGTCAGTCAAAAATATCCTTTGCTATGGTGAACGAGCCAAGAAATCTGTTAGCAATTGCACAGGCAAAGCAGAAGTGGCAAAAACCTAGATTCATTTCAGGTGAAAAAATTTGTGCATGATGTCCTCTAATGATACTACTGCTTAATGAGACTATTTGGGCAAGGAAAAAATTGGAAAAATAACAGAAGAAAAAGAAATAGTTTGCTTTTTATACCCTTAAAGTTATCACATTTAGTACAGAAGGATGTCTGAAAGGCTGAATGTATGCACAGCCACACACATACGCATGCACACCTGCCTTTCCTGATGCTATACTAAAGCCATTTTGAGCCTAATGCTCTTGAGAAAATTGCTCCAGAGTGGTTAGTTCACCATGCGGAAACCTCACCTCTGTGATGCTAACAAAGTCAGCAAGACACTGGGTTATCTGCTGCAGAGCTCAAGGCATTTCAAACATAAGCTACCCAGAAGGCTATTTAAGATGTAGAGTATTCCCACTGCTATGTTTTTATGTTTTTAGGAAGTCTTAAGAGTGGGACTTGATCCAACAGGTCATTGAATCCTCCACTTTGTTTTTTTGGGGAGGAGGGGAGAGGGAGGGGGTTCTTTTGGGTTTTTTTGTTCTCCCTTTTAGAGTTTCCCATTTTCTTCCTTGCCACCCTGATCTATTTGCAAAGGCTTATCTGACCAAACAGATGCAAAGCTATTCTCAGCCTTCAAGTAATCAACCATTTGTATGTCACAAGTCAGAGATAAGCCAGCCAGCTAGGTTTGCTTTTTGGAGTGGCTGAGCTATGGGGAGGGGATGTATTTGTAGGGGAGCTATTTATAGTGGGGGTCTTCTGGTGTGTAAAATCCTGCCCCCTCCCCTTTTTTTCTTTTTCAAACAGTCCTTCACTAACATTAAAGTGGTAGAAATATGAAAATGATAAGTTATGTGTCTGGTTTCTACTAAGCTTTTTCTAAGAAAACCTTGATCTTAGTAAACCCAGAATTTTAATAAAAATAGTGAAAGCATATCATTTGCAGCAGCTATCTGTCAAATATTTTACCATCACATCTCTTCCACACTGAAATACATGAGAATAGCAGTAAGAAGCAGAAGCTCTGAAAAACTGACAAGTAACTGTAATGAGAGATGCCCTGGTTTTACCACATTGCTATTTCTAAAGTGGCCTTGACTTCCTTCGGTGGAGTTACTTCTGACTTTTAACTTTCAGAGGTAAATATCTGCCAGGTATATAAAAAAAAAAAAAACCACAAAGAGAATAAAGTAAATGCACTAAGGGCAGAAATCAGGCATATACTATCACTGAGGTTAGAATAATGCCCTAAAAAGTTGGTTGTTGGTTGTGTAACAGACCCCATTTGCAAAGTGGTGATTTCTAACAGTAGTAAAAGTCTATTGTGTATATAAGTGAAGAATTTATAACTAAAAAGAGGGTATTGTTCCATTCCCTTGTGCAGTTTGAAGATAATGATGTGTTTTGCAATTTTGGCTGTTAATGGCTGTTGCACTGCATGTTTTACAGCAAGTATTTATATACTGTTAGGGATTTTTTTAAATACTGTTGTGTTAATGAACATAAATAATATATTTGGACATCATTCAAACCTGATGCTGATCATTCCAGTGAAGACAATATTCATGACTCTTCTCTGCTTCAGAGAGGCATTTGGAGCCTGACAGTACTGAACTCATATGCAAAGCTCCCTCACTGTGAGTTAGCTTCTGTTTTGATTTTTTTTTTCTGATTTGCTTGAGGTCAGCCTTTTCAAGTATCTGGCAGGTTTCTTCTAAATACAATTAAGTTTATTTGGAAGCTTCTTGCATTTCAAAGAGCATATCGTTGAAGGTGCCCATGCTATTTGCAGTGCTTTCATCAAAAATTTCCTCCTTATAGAAGCTTTTTACAAACACTAATGATTTCCTGTACGCAGCCCCTTCATTACTCTGTGGCACTTCTCTTCCACATGTTAGGTTTTTTTTGTTTTTGGGTTTTTTGGGTTTTTTTTTGTTTTTTTTGTTTTGTTTTTTTTTTAAAGATGCCAAAGCAATGTTGTTCAGACCTTGTGGGCTGTTCGCAACAGTAGCAGAGGAGAACATAGAGATAGCTATCAGATTTTGCTTTCCTCTTCCAGCTACCTGCTGGATTTCACAGTCCAGTCAACTAAAGCTGTTTGATCACTTCATGTGCTGCATGTATTCAGTGCAAGAATTTTTACATGCTCTGCAGCATCAAGTGATCAAAAGAAGTGAGATCCTCTGTTGTAGCATCGATAATAGGCTACTCCGCACTGCGTATCTCAGCACAGCACGCAAAGAAATTGTCAAATTGGTTTTGATTCTGAAAGACGTTCAAGATGAAGAAAGGTAAGATAAAGGAAACTAATGCCATTGAGAAAAATATACATGGTATTAAAGCTTGCCGTAGGATGGCTATACACCTGTTGGTGAGAAAGCAAGCTGGCGACAGAAGCAATAGGACTGCTCAGAAAATAGGACAACCAGGTCTTGCTCTTCTGTAGGGAGCCCAGGCCCAACCTGTGGCTTGTTGTAGCTCTGTTGTCTGGTAATAGCACAGCTATGTTTCTTTGTGTGAGGTCTCTTCACTTCAGTTATACATTTGTATCATAGACAAGTAATTGATTTTTTTTGTTTGGTTGATTTTTTTAATTCTGCTTAACTACATTGCAGATATGAATTGTTTCAGATAGACAGTAAGCTTCTGAAGTAAGAATAGTGGGTTTTCTGCATTTTACAGAGAGGAGCCAAAAATAATAATCTATGTCCACTATTCAGATGCTTGACTTTTAAATCACTTTTTGGGCTGGTTTGTTTTTTTCTTTTCTTTCAGTTTTATTTTACCTAAGGCCATGTCAATAATGAATACCTAGCAGCCAAGATTAATTAAGAGCAGGTTGTTTCCAAATGGAGACTTGAAAGCAAGAGAAGAAGGGTTAGAAAGCAATTCTGGAAATACATTTGTATACAGGCAATCAGAGCAATAAAGGAATGCAAAGCCTGCATTTAAACAGTGTTTAGAAAGTATTTTGTTCTAGTGTCTGTGGTAGACATATGGAAATATTCAATATTGTCGCTAATATTAAAGGAAAGCTTATCAAAGGCATGAATGGCAGGTAGGTGTTCAGTTTTCATTAAAGGTCAGTAGGAGTTGAGTGTCTAATACAATTTTTTACATCTTAATAATTCCATACAGGTTTTTAATATGAAAAGCCCTTTGATTCTCCAAAATTTATTACTTGTGTTTTCATGAGCATGTGTATTGATCATCTGGCTAATAATCATTTAGCATGAAAGCCTGCTTGGGAATTTGCTAATTCTTCACTTCTGGTCCCAGTTATACCTCCTTCTGACTCTGATTTTGGATTTGTTTCAGACATGCAAATTATCAGAAGAGTTCTGTGAAGCCTTTCTAAGCACAGAAATCAATACCCTTAAACCAGCACAATTTCCAGTGTGGATTAAATAGTACTGATATCAAGGTGCTACTCATTTGTTGTTTTTTCTTTTTTCCTAGGAGTATCTTTACACCTTTGGATTACAGGAATTACAGGATCCTTACAGTTATTACAGGAATTACAGGATCCTTACAGTTGCAGGAATACTATTTTAATAATATCTGTGTAAAAACACTATAAAAAAGAGGAAAACAAGCCTAATTTTCAAATCTCACTGTGCTCATCTGGAAACACATGTTGATGTATGTGTGGGGAGGAACAATGTTTGCCATTTTTGAGTGTGGCAATGAGTATGGCATACTCCCAATAAGTATGCCGCCAACTGTATGAATTTTAACAAGGGCAAGTGCCAGATTTTGCACCTGGGACACAGCAACTCTGAACACACACACACACACACACACACAGACTGGGGAATGAGAGGCTGGAGGCAGCCCTGCAGAGAGGGACCTGGAGGTTCTGGTCGATGGCAAGTTGAACATGAGCCAACACCGTGCCCTGGCAGCCAAGAGGCCAGCCGTGTCCTGGGGTGCATCAAGCACTGCATTGTGAGCTGGTTGAGGGAGGTGATTGTCTTGCTCTACTCTGCACTAGTGTGGCCTCACCTTGAGTACAGTGTGCAGTTTTGGACACCACAGTATAAAAAGGATATAAAGCTACTGGAGAGTGTCCAGAGGAGGGACACAAAATTGGTGAAGGGCTTAGAGGGGAAGCTGTATGAGGAGAGGATGAACTTGCTTGGATTGTTCAGTCTGGAGAAGGGGAGACTGAGAGGAGACCTCATCGCAGTCTGTAACTTCCTCACAAGGGGAAGAGGAGGGGCAGGTGCTGATCTCTTCTCTCTGGTGACCAACGATAGGACCAGGGGAAATGGCAGGGAGATGTGCCAGGGGAGGTTTAGGTTGGATATTAGGAAAAGGCTCTTCACCAAGAGGGTGGCGAAGCACTGGAACAGGCTCCCCAGGGAGGTGGTCATGTCACCAAGCCTGACAATGTTTGAGAAGCATTTGGACAACCCACTCAGACACATGGTCTGAACCTTGGAATTGTCCTAGGCAGGGATCGGAGTTGGACTCAATGATTCTATGATGATTCCTCAGGGTGGGCGTACTATATTTGAGGTGCACAAGCTTACAGGTGTCTGCCTACTGGAAAACAAGCATGCAAGAATAAAGTCCAGGTATATGAGTTACCTTGGCCAATAATTAAAGGACTTTTTTTTCCTTCAAATTAGGTTCTGTTTGGTATAATGGCATCTGTTGTCTCTTTAACCAGTCCTACCACAACTGTGAATCTTTGGTGAGACACTAGCCAGGTAAAGACGTTTCTCTGCTACATGCTGTTTTGACAGAAAGTACCATGTTAAGGGCTGACTACTTAAATTTTTCTTTCCTGCATATTTTCTCAGAAAAAAATAATTTTGTATACTGTAGTAATGATGCTGAGTGGATAATAAGATGCAGTATGCTGCTGCTGCAGGCTCTACACCATATGTCTTCCATAACTATTACATTTTGGGGGGCTGGTTGTTAGGGTAATTGTATCGTCTCAGTAATTCATCATCAGAGTAACTTGAAATAATACAGCTGTTATATATAGCAGTGAGAATTACAATGTTTAAAACTAAACAGCAGAACTGCATTCTGTGAGCTGAAGTGTCAGAATTGTAGATTTATAAATATTTCTACATTTTCTGCTTGCTGAGCTTTATGTATAAATCAAATTGCTATAACAACACTTAAAGCAGACTGTGAAGACAATTATTTTAAAGCAGAAAGTTATCCGAGTCATTATTTCATAGTAGTAAAGAGTAGTTGCTTCCTGCTCTGAAATGCTGGGGCAGTGAACGTTTGTGATACCTTCATTCCAGGCTTTTTGTTCTATGATCGCATATATGGCATTTTGTGACATAAAAAAAAAATCATTTTGAGTCATGTATCACTACTTCCACTTAGTGAGCCACTTAGGTAGCTTTTTTTTTTCGAGTACGCCTCAGTTGTAAATTAGTGTGATACTGGACCCATATTTCACTTACCTCTTTTAAGGGTCATTGGTTTAAGGCTAGAAGGTGCTTAATTTTTATAAAGCAACATTTAAGAGTGCAGTAGCTCTGGTAGCATCTGTATGTATTTGCATACATAATATTGTTACAGTGACAGTGTTTTTCTTATATGTTAACCAGGGGCATCTGGTGAACAATGAATTTTTATTATTTCTGAATTAATTTAGAAAAATCCAGATAACTTAATGGCATGAAGCTGGGGTCATTTATAGGTTTATAAAATGATCAGCAGCCCTGAGGAAAAGAACTTGGGGTTGCTGGTGGGCGAGAAGCTCAACATAAACCAGAAGGCCAACTGTATCCTGGGTTGCATCAAAAGAAGTGTGGCCAGCAGGTTGAGGGAGGACCTTATAGCAGCCTTCCCATACCTGAAGGGGCTACAGGAAGGCTGTGGAGGGACTTTTGACAAGGGCAGGTAGTGACAGAACAAGGGGTAATAATGGCTTTAAACTGGAAGAGGGTAGGTTTAGATATTAGGAAGAAATTCTTCACTGTGAGGGTGGTCAGACACTGGCACAGGTTGCCCAGAGAAGTTGTGGATGCCCCCTCCCTGGAAGTGTTCAAGGCCAGGTTGGATGAGGCTTTGAGCAACCTGATCTAGTGGAAGGTGTCCCTGCTCATAGCAGGGAGGTTGGAACTAGATGATCTTTAAGGTGCCTTCCAACCCAAACTATTCTATGATTTCGTGACCTTACAGTGTTTCTGCATAAAACATGAGAGCAAAATATGTTGTAAATTCTCTGTCTCTCTTTAACAAAATCCATGAAACAACTGATTGAGGATCCCAAAATTAGGGGAGGGGAAAAAAGGGGTTTTGCTGTATGTTTATGATTATAGATCTGTTTTTCAAGTGCCTTGTTCTATCTCTGTAAGGATCTTGGTGCAGACAGGAAAGGTGTGCTTGGGTTTGTTCTTAGGTGAGCATGCACAGGTGCTGCAGGAAATATTGGTAACATTTATGGCTCTGCAGACAACATTTTTCTTCTCTGAATAGTATGAATAGTGGCTCAATACTGTTAGGCAGTATTTTTGTTGCCAGGATGACATTTCAAATGGGTGTGTGCAAACAGGTACCACAGACCTGACCGTGCTTCTCACAGGAATTCAAGGGTCATATTTGCATTCCAGACACCACTCAAGCCAAGTAACGATAGCCTTCAAGTCATGAAAAACTTCCTGAATGCAAACATACTGTGTACTGGAGGCTCAAAAAGACTAGTCAGCTGTAGTTAAGTTCTTATAGTGCATTTTGGAAGTAAGTATTTTCATTTCATCCTTCCAGTCCCACTGTCTTGGGGACCATGAGGCTGTGAATTAAGTAAAGGAGAACAAATCTTTCCAGAAGCAGGTCTCATGATGAAGGAGGAGCAGTCAAAATTGCTGGGAGACTGGATTGAGAAGAAGCCCACTTTGCTGCATGTTGCTCAGATTTGATATGAGGGTGACTAAATCAGTGTCACCTGCACAGAGTGACATTGTGCAAGTCACACCTCCCAGCTGGAAAAAAAAAAATCAAGCATTTAGTTTAAAATTGTGGGATTTAACATGCTTTTTAATTCTTTCTGTTACCCTGCCAATGCAGTACCCGGCAAGGCTTTGGGTTTTAAGCTTTTCTATACAATTATCAGAACTAGGAGATTGTTTTAAAATGCGAAGTGGGATTTTCTCATAACCTAAGGTTTACAGAGATGTGAATTTAAGAAATAAGCAAATATCGGCAAAGTCGCGAATAAATGGTGAGAACTGGCAAGAAGGAACACGGGGAAAATCTCAGTCTGCTCACTAGGCAACCAAGAAAGGGAGATGCTGGGTTTGTTGTGGGGTTTGGTTAGGTTTTTAGGGTTTTTTTCCCTTCTCCCGAGTAGCTATATATTTCCAGCTTTTAGGAAAAGAAAGAGAAACCAAACAGCTTTACGCTTGTCAGATGGCAGTCTTTCAAAGACTCAATACTGGGTGGATGCACCCTATCAGGCATCAGCAAAAATCTTTGCTTCCTTCCTTGAAGTGCCTACCTGTGACTGATAATTTTGCCTGCTAGCACTGTGATAGAGTTTTCAAGCCCCTCCTACATTTGCTGCAGTATGTCCAGCACTGATATACTGAAAGCTACAATCCATCCTTGACAATGGTTACCTTTCTAAAATCATGAAGGGACAAAAAAACCTAACTGTAAATACTCAAGATGGAGGATGACAGAATGTCTGCTCCCATGCTCTTTTGTCCTGCAGTTGGCTAAAAAGTAAAGATTTGATTGCTGTTGGTAAAAAATGGGTTGAATATTTTATTACTTCTCATAGATAGAAGCAGAAACAAAATATTTTAAAAAATATTATGTTAAATGACATAATACCCAAGAGTATGAATTTAAAAACACCTATCCAGAAAGTTAAGTTTTTTCACTGGAATATAAAAGATAGATTCATTCAAAGAACTCTTCCCAGACGTTTATATTTTCTGTGTCTTTCCCAGGAAACATTTCCTCTGGAAGACACTAGATGGTAATAAGAAATATTAATGGGTTAATAGACTAAAATATATGTAGTTATTCAATTAATTTTGGAGTTTAACAATATCTTCTGTCCATTATGTATCTCTCCCCTCACTTCCTTAAGCAAACAGTACTATTTTTACATATGCATTTCCTTACAGGATTGAGAAAATCAGAAATTATTTTAATTTTTACATACATTTCCATAATATAGAATATTAGCCTCTGTTTACATTTGAGTGAAAATGATCTCACTCTTCTTAATAAAACTCAAGAAACTTATTCTTCAATAAAATCAAAGTAAACTGTCAGTTAGTTCTAAGACTTTATTATCACATTCACCAGAAAGTTGCTCCTCAGGGACTGACACTATAAGATGCAAGCTGGCATGCTTGAACTTTTTTTTTCCTCTCTTTGTTCACCTGTGGGAGTCACAGTGTTATTACTTTTCCTTGGAAGCGGTTAAAAGTTGTAAGTATTATGAGCTTAGGTTGTCTGTGGTCTCTTCTAAGACTACTGTTGTGCCAAATTTGCACACACTCATGTTTCAGTCCAGAATTACTACAGAGAGCAATAAAACCTTGCTGATGCTATAGGAAATATTATTCTGGGGATATGTGTATATATAGATATATATATATATTTATACTAGCATAGGTTTTACTGCATTTGAAGTTGGCATATCGGTCACACTGAACTAGGGTCCAATAGGGAACAAATTGTACTGTCAGCTGCTGGCTTGATTTGCATTTCAAGTTTCTCACTTGGTTCTCAGGTTCATCAGCATTCTTGTTGCTTCATTGGAAGCCTGATAAAGCCAAGCTAGAAGTATTTAAAGTACACAATTAAAAAAAAATACTTGAAAATATTCTACTGGAGTTGCTAGATTACAATAGTAGCTGCTAGTGCTTTCAAAGACAAAGTGTCTTGAAATGATTTGTATGTACAGATGCATACACACACACCTATACTGTCCGAGCAGTCAAAACTCCTAGTGTTTCAGAGCACATTAGGAATATAGGTTTGGAGCTAAACATGTATATCTAACGCTTTTATCCAACTGCTTTGAAACCATCAACATAATTATCCTGTCCCTGAGCTTGGACTCCTACAAGTGGCAAGGACAGCCAAGGTTAAACTGTAGGCAATGCCTACACTGCACATTGCAGTAATGTGTAAGGGTACTTTAGGTGATACTAAATGAGCTTATCTGCCTGTCTGGGTACTGTGAGGAGTACCAATTGCCCTGGCCTTAGAAACAGAAGAGCTATGTGGTCAAAGCATCTCCAACCCAAAAGTTTAGCTTTTGTGAAGAGCTGCTGGTTGGGGCTCAGAGTGTCAGGTAGCTTGTCTGTAGGTGAATCCCAAGTGCCTGCCCTGTTTTGCCCCAGGGAGTGATGCTGGTGATGTGATGGTTGTAGCAGTATTCATAGTGCCTTCTGATTTGAAGTTCAAAATAATTTCTAGAGGCAGAGAACAACGTTTATGCTACTTCTTGAAACACTTCACTCTTCTCCTGAAGGTGTGTCCTTTCTTCTGACCTCTCTTGGAAATAATATTGAAGACTCTCCCATGTCCTCCTACATGTCTCCACTCTGTTATTGTGGCCTTCCCAGTTCAGATTAGGTAAAGGCAGAGTAGGAAAATGAATTTATTTCATTGCTATGTTCTCTCACAACTGGGTGAGATTGAGAAAAATAAAACACAGGCTAAGAACCGTAAGGAATGCGGTGACTTCTGCAGGCCCTTTGTAAATAGTTAATTTTTGCCAGGGGAACTCTGAAATGAACATTTTTGCTAGTGGGCAAACAAAACCTCCTAGAAATATGAGCCTGAAATGCTGTATTGTTTCAGGTCACTGTCAAGGATAACATCATTCAACAGATAATGTTGACTTATTGCAATACTTAGTAAGGCACAGACACTTCTATAGTGCCTATCATCGGGATGCTGAAGAGAGAAACTCTCATTCAACGTTTGTCTGAAGCTGTTTCTGATAGGAAGAATAACTTTAAGATCATTATGAATGAACAAGTGATAAAAGAAGGTTTCTACTACTGCACTGTGCAGCTGAGGCTGGCAAAGCAGAAATAGTCATTTACAGAATCCCAGAACTGCCTTGAATGGAATTTAGTATGCTTCAGTTTTATCAGTCTCTTCTCTTTGTTTACCACCATGTTGCTCCAAAACAGAAGGAAAAATAAAAAGCAGTCCTTTCTCATGGGCTACGGGCCCATTATATTAAGCATCACAGGACTGAGGGCTGAGATGAGGTTACCTCAAGAGTTTACAGCACATCAGCTGATCCACAGTAACTGTATGTGCACATGCTCTTAACCAATGACAAATGAAAAATAATGGGTCTTAAGTTATCTTGCAGTGAAGGAGGAGTACAGTGAGTCAAACTACCGCAGGATTATGCAAGAACTTAAAACACTATCTATATACAGTGGTGCTTATTGCAACTCAGCTGATACATGGTGACTTACTGCTTTGTGATAGTGTAATGATCTGTCTGGGCCCGTGTAGTGTCAGGTCTTTGCATCATATTTTGTGGTTCTAGAGGGCTGTGCACAATGGGGTTGTGGTCTGTATCATGTTTAGTGTGATGTTTAGAAGTCAAATTTAAATATGGATTCATAACAAGGAAGACTTAAACTTGAATCCCAGATTTGCTTCCTTGTTATATAGGAGGTTACATAAATGCCCACAGGTGCTGAAGAAGTGTGGAAAAAATGAAATGTAGCCTTTAATTATGGAGTTTCTCATGTTCTCAGCTACACAAATGTATTAGAGCAAAAAAAAAAATCACTACAGTATGTTATAAGCTATTCGGGTGATACTCTTTGCTATTGCAGCTTTGTGCTTGATGTCTGTACAGTACTTCTGTGCAAATGTAAGGAAGTCAGGAAATTTGCTTTTTTCACTAAAAAGTATATATGTATCAAGTTCAGGCTAAAGATCTGCCTTCTTTCAGAGAGATTGTGGAGTCTCCATCTCTGGAGATGTTCAAAACCCTCCTGGACACTTTTCTGTGCAACCTGCTATAGGGAGCCTGCTTTGGCAGGGGGGTTGGACTAGATGATCTCCTGAGGTCCCTTCCCACCCCTACCATTCTGTGGTTCTGTGATTCAAGTCTGCAAAGCATTCATTTCACTTGCTGGTACCTGGCCATTTACAAATGGTAACTCGGTAACCATTGCAGTACCACATTCTCTTATTTTGGAAAAGCATCTGATATATCTGCCTTTTATGCCACTTCATTTTGCCTGCACCTGTCCTATTCACTCAAAGGTGGGTTTTTTCCCTTGTTTTTTGATCTAAAATAATGTATGTATATACATATGTATAGCAAATAGGAAAGCAGCTATGTAAAGTGTAGGTTATGAATAGTATCATTATGAATCATTGTAAAATTAGTGAGCTTTTTTTCAATGCTCAAAGCCTTTGATTTCTTGAAACTACTGTGCAAAGGTGCATATGCCATTATCATTACATACTGGTTTTCTGTATTTCATAAATTAGTGAAAGAGGAGATTGCTTTAGAGCCAGGACAACGTTATATTTCTTTGGATACATATCTGTATAAAGAGAGTAAGCATATGAATGAAACAGGTGAAGCAAATAAGCTACTGAATTGATGGGAGAAAATGGGTGAAATTTATTCTGAGTCATAGTTGAACCAGTTGAAATAAAATAGGGCTACAGTTAATCTCCCAAGATAACTGAGAGATTGCTCTGCAACTTGCATGAGAGACAAAAGAAGGTGAGCCTGTGCTGGATGAGATGGATCCCTTACTGATACCCTATAGGTATGGAAAAGTAGGACCAGCCAATAAAGAAATGCCAAAATAATCTACAAGGGGGAAAAGAGGAATGTTTAGAACATTATTTAAGCAATTGAGCAAATAATATACTTTTCATAGTCATTCTGCAAATCTTGGTAGGGAATGGTCCTTTTATTGTTCTAAAAAAGTTCATAGCTGAAGAGGTGATAGAGTAGTGCCAAAACCTTGATGGTCTTTCTCCAAAGGTGTTCAGCAGCTGCTCAGCTGTGTAACTGGAATATGCAAGCATTATTGGAAAATGAAGTCAGGTATTTAAAAAGAGAATAAAAGACAGTGGAAGAAATCCTGAGTTCTTTGCTTGGGAGACTTCTAGACATGAGGAGCTGCAGGATACACTTACTACAGGGAGTGAGGCCAGGGTAGTAGGAGGAAAAGGGAGCAGACACAAAAGCTGTGCAGGAGAGGTGAAACTGGTTCTGGAAAGATTGACAGGAATGATGAAGAAGTACAAAGTGAAATATTTTGTGTTTCATCTGGTAGTGTAAAAACTTTAAGAAGTTTTTAAACTTTTAAGAAGAATGTACCAGTACCAAAGACATGACATTTCACATAGAACTGCCACTTTTTATGCACAAGCCCCTAATCTCATACTGTGCAGTGCTTTTTTCTTTTTCTCTTCAATTTAATAAATATCCTTATTCAGGAATAAAATTGATTTTATAAGAGGGGGAAAAAAAAAAAATCACAAAGCCCTGAAGTTAAATTTTTAATAGACATTAAAAGACTTTGTTAAAATGTAAATGTCCCATTAGAGTGAACTTCTTAATAATTAAAACACAATAAAAATATCTGGCAATATCACAATCATCTGGAAAATCTACAGCCTTGGTCCTGAGTATGAATGGGTGTGAGAAGTCCCCTTAGCCCTAGGCCTGCCCAGGCACAGCAGTTTACAGGCAAATCCTAGCAAAAAAATCAGTCTCAATCCTTAGTGGGAACAAGATGCTGTCCCTATGTCACAAGCGCCTTTCACTCCTCTCTGGCTCTGATCAGGAAAGTCTTTGTTAGTAATTCCATCTATTCTTGTCTTAATGTAGTGCAAAAAATCTCTCAATTAGGAAAAAAAAAAAAAGTATTCTCCTTTGTTATAATTTGTGAAGACTTTGAGTGTGAATGAGGTTTGGAGAAAGGACATGCAGGGCTGGGCCTTGGATTTTACAGGCCTCAGATCCTCATACCTCTTGCAAGTGACACTACAAGGCTTTCCATTTTGAAAGCCTAAAAGGAAAAATGGTGTTAAATCCTTACAGAGGTGAGGGAGGGGACAAAGAAAAAAAACCTGAGCTTTCTTCCTCCTTCCCACCTCCTCATCTTGACCTGAATCTCTCAGAAAAGGAGAGAACTCAATTTGGTGAAATAACTAATTTGGAATATCAATTATCCATCAAAGAGATGTCCTAGACTTACTGAGCTGTCAGGAGGCTTGTCATTGCCACATGCAAGCCTTAAGAACTTCCATCTGAGGAGGGAAGATGTTGTTAGAAATCTTCCCCTGTCTGACACACTGTCTCTATTTCTTGCTAAAACAACTCTTAATTAGTTTTTCCTTTTCTTCTTTCCTTTTTTTTTTTTTTTTTTTTTTTTAAAAATATCCAGCACCAGGGAAAAATTGGAGTTAAATTCAATGTTGGAACTGATGACATCTCTATTGAAGAGATCAACGCAATCATTAATGATGGAAAATACCACGTAGTACGTTTCACAAGAAGTGGTGGCAACGCCACATTACAGGTGGACAACTGGCCAGTTATCGAACGTTACCCAGCAGGTAAGTGCTTACACAAACGCTTGTGAGTAAAAGAGTGGGGGATGCGTGGAGTTTGGCTCATTTTGCTTCTCTTCTAATACAATGTCCATTCTTTTGCAGTGTTTTAGTAGCTATTTAAGTAGTTAGAGAGTCCTGAGCAATGTGCAGTTTATGATGATGGCATTTCCTAAGTGAGTTTAAAAGCAGAAATTTGTTATTACTGGAAGTGGAAAAATACAGTTATTAAACCATGAAATAGTGGGTTGGTTTCTTGTTTTCCTTTGTTTTTATTGGATTATTGTTTTAGGGGGAAAAAAAGGCTTTGACAAAAGCTACACAGTAAAATGACTCCCAAATCAATCCCCAAGTGATGGGGTAAAACAGTTACTGAGGAAAAGGTTGTCTGTGTTCTTCTAATTACAAGTTGTTATTAAAGCAGTCTGAAGCTAATGAATTTAGAAGTATGTCAGCAGGCATAAACCAAAAGGTGTTTCAGTTATCAGTTGTACAACCAACCAACCAAATTAAGATGCCTTAACTTAAAATGCAAATTAGAGGATATTATTTATGCAAGTGATGCTGGTTACTTGAACAAGACTGCTCGTGTGAATACAGAGTTGCTTTGATCGGGCCCATATTTAATTTTATGTAAATGCCATGCACTGAAGATTACTGTGTTACTAATTTTATTCATTTTTAAGGCAACAGGTTTTTCAGATACGCAATCCCTTTCTTATTGAATAAGACTACTGAGCCATTAATGTTAATTTACCACTCTGCATGTTATCTGTTAAGAGTTGGTGTGTGTGTTTATATTATTAAACAAAAGGCAGCAAATCCAGAGGTGTAAGTGAAAGGTGTCCTGGTTTGCGTATTTGCTATTATATAACTGATGGTTCTGATTTATCTGTTTATAAGTAGAAAATTCTTCATTTTGGGGGTGGAGTGGGATGCAAGATGTTTCACTAATAAGAAGTGCATAAGCCATTCCCTGTACTAATTATTAGTATTTAGGGTTTGAGGTTTTTTGTTTGTTTGTTTTGTGTTGTTTTCGGGGTTTTTTATTAAGTTTGAGTTGTAGTCCAGCTGTTCACCTGACTTTTTAAAACATAAAGATAGTTTTTTAAAAATCCACAGGTGAAATGTAACCCTTCAGATAATTTATTGGAAATGCTTTATTATTAAAATAAAAGTATGCATCACAAATAAAATTGCATATAGCAGGAGCTGTTAAAAAAAAAAAAACCAAAACCAAACACCTGTGTGCTAATTTGTTATGAATGAGTGACAGTCCTGCTGGTTAGAAATAATTAATGGCTTTAAGTTAGACACATCTCTGAGAGGTGATAAACTCTTGAAGGAAAGGGGGATACTGAATTAAATATGTTCTGTGATTTTTCAGATATTCCTGTTTCCCCCATGTCCCTCTTGTCTCCTCACTTTTGCAGCATTTTGTAAATGGTAGCTGAAATAAGATGGTGGAAGCTGAGGAGTAGTGTGTCTTAGTTTCTGTTCCAGACCTATGTAGCAGAAAGGAAAATACAGGTTTAGGGTAGGGTTTTAGTTTCTTTTGTTTTTTACCTAAATTATGAACATAAAAATATTTTTGTTTTTTTTCTCTGTTCTGTTTCTTCACAAAAATACAAAGTGGCTACAACAAGGACAAACCACAGGTTCCTCTGATTCTGAAAAGAGTGACGCACAGAATTTTTTAAAACTGAACATAGATCAATTTAGAAAATTGAGTGATTTCCTTGGGATGGGATTAGTGGAGTGGAAGGAGGTTGGATGGTTTTTGGTTTTTGTTTTGTTTGTTTGTTTGTTTTAAAAAAAGGAAAACAAAAAAAGAGAGAGAGCTTCCCTAGTAATCTATGCATAAACTAGATTTCAAGGCATTTTCAGTTAATTCATCAGCCAGGGTACAGAATCCCTTGGCTTGCTTTATTGCTGGATCTTCCAAGGCTGCCGTTGGCCTTTAATTTTCTTTGCTTTTCCCATAGTAATATTTTGAGTGCTGTATACCATAGCATTGCTTTTGAAATCCATCCTCCCCCTTTTCACCTTCCGTCTCTTCTCCCTTCCCACCATGAGAGCACCTAGCCATACATTTCTCTTTTGTTTCCATGCTGTTCCATCAGGTTTGGCACTGAAAGATATCTCTGAAGATATTAATGGCACCATGTTCAAAGCTACCACTGTCATCCCAGTTCTAAATGTAGTATTTATAAAAGTGACATTTTAGAGATATCGATAACACAGTTTGGCAAACACTGCTGCATCCAATGTAGACATGCTTCTGCTTTTGCTGTTTTAGGGACTGACAGCAGTACCTGTCAGTACTGGTTAACCAGTTAACTTGCTCTTTGGTCATGTTTTGGGCATATTGCAGTTGTACAATACAGACCAAATTTGATGCTGTTTGCATGAACGAGGGTTAATTAGCTTTCATTTCCATGCTAGAAAGAATATTCTTTTTTGCTTTGTGTCTTTCTGAATTGTTTCTTTCTACATAATTTCTTAATGTGCCTGCACTGCTGTGCATAAGCACAGACTTATCTCTCCTACTTCTGTTTTTCGTTGTTTTTTTTTTTTTTTAATTAAGACTAGAAACAAGATTAGCAGCTTAATTAGTAAGTTTGCTATTCTTAAATAAGCTGTATTTCCTTTTTCAAAAATATTATAATATTTAAAAAAAATCAGTTGGTTGCCTAAAGCATACCAACTGATCAATTGTCTGTTCTTTACAAGGAAAGATTATACTCTGAATTACACTTCTGGTTGGAGTGTCTGACTACAAGACATTGCTTGTTTGTGGTCAATGTTTTAAAGTAATGGGTAAGGAGTTCCTGGTAAGAGGCTCAGGATTTTCCAGTTCCATTGCCTGTGTAGCCTTCATACAGCTCCATCTAACGTCTGTAGACAATGGCACCCGCAGCCCAATAACAGTCAGCATTGCATCACTTGCTAGGACAATGCTGTGGGCACCCCTCTTGATATGCAAAGCGACCATCTTTTGAAAAAGAGCTGTGGCCCTGATTGCCAAAAGTCTGTGTGGGATTTGTAGGGAGTCTGAACTCAGTCCTGGGTCTCAGGAGCTGCCCAGGATTCAGTGCTCTTGCAAAGGGTTTTCTAGCTGGTGTAGCACACACGATTCTCTAATACTGCTTTCTGAGCAGTCAGAGAGGTAAGCACCTTGCAAAAAGTATCATCTAGCAATGCTCCATAGGGTTTCCATGGTTGCTTTGTGTGTTTTATCCTAGAGCTGCATAAAATGCAGAAATAATCCTGGAAGATGAGTAGGATGTAACATGTTTCCCTTGTACATCATCCTCCATCCCCACTATACTCAAGTGTTTTCTCTGGGCCAATGCAACTTCAGTTTGTATCCAAGTAGATGTGAAATGAGAGAGCTGTGAAAGGAGAAGAGGTAGGGGTGGCCAGTGGTAGAGGATGATTATCCTTGTAAAGGTGACTGGTTGATTTTTGGAATATAACGGGGAAAAATGTGGTTTAGTCCTAGACAAATGTGAAGATTTTGGTGTCCTGCAATGGCTTGATGTTTTTCATAAATAGAGGTTTAGATTCAGGTACGTATGCTCTTCCAGACTCCCATCAAAGTCTTTTTTTACTCCAAAGTTTCTCTCTTGCCATTTCTCTGAGTGCAATGCTAGAGCTATGAGGATGTACACTTCCATTTCTGCCCTTTATTAAATGGTTGTCCTATTTTCTCACTCCCTCATTGTGTCAGTGGTGGTGGGTAGCCCTATGATTGAGAATGGCGTATTGTGTTTCGATAGCTGACTAAGATGCCCAGACCTGTACTAGATTTGTATATTCCACCTTTCTTAACTAAATTCAATGTTAGGTCTCTACTGAATGATTATCATCCCTCTGCACCTTCCCAAAGGTTTTACACCTTGGACCTTTTTTCAGATAGTGATTTCTCATTAGCTTACCTGGATGTCACCTAATTTCTGATCATATTAAACAGGAATGAGAAAACTGCTGACTGTACAGAGTCCCTGATCAATTGACTAACCCTATTTTCCATGCAGATCCTTTCTACTCCTTATGGCTTATCTTGTCTGCTTCACAACTTAGTTTTAATTGCCCTTCCCAACTAGTTGGCTTGTGGTTGTAGCTTTGGGACTGCACCATAGTAGCAACTCCAGCTAGTACTATGAACAGGCTGCTCTTGTAACTTCAGTTAGTAATAATTCTACACTGAAATGTAGGTTTGCTAAGAATTCATTTATGGTAGGAAACCAAAGGACTTGTTAATTTGGTTCATACTGAACTAACAATTATGGCCAAAGGAAAAAACAAAATAATAGGAAATTTGTTTTAGTCATGTTAAAATATTAATTTAAGTATTTTCTAAATAAAGTGCTCTGACTTTTCATGTCAAGATTGCCCAGTGTTTTTAGGGGATTTAAGTAATCTGAGAACAAAACATTTCATTTAATTTGAAACAACTTCACCTGTAAGAAAATCTGTTTCAAATCAAATCAAATGGGAGGGAGGGGGCGTAAATCTTTCTCACAGCAGTGCTCATAACCATATCTATTTAACAAGGAAAACAATTTTCTCAATTTTCTAGTTTTACTTCCTTAGTAATGAAGGGTGTGCATTTTACGAGTCTGCAAAAGTATATCAAAACAAGCTAGATGACTTGCTAAAGTCACAATGATCACCACTTATTATGAAAGATTTTCAGAATAATTTTTCTGTGAATAACTCTACACTTTCTGCAGTCAAAGGGAGTTTGCCCAATGCTATTTCTTTTTAAAAATACAGCACAACCAATCATTTTACCAGTGAAAACATCCTCTTCAGCACTTCCATCATAAATCAGACTGATGCAGAATTTTCTGGATATAGGATGATCTGTTAAATATTGTCTAACTGGTCTACGGTTTCAAAACGGTTCAGATTGCTGGAAATACTCAGCACTTCCCAGGACCCTGCAGCAGTCTGGAAGATACAGCCTGATGTAGGCAAATACGTAAAGCAAAGCCTTC